CTGAGGACAAGAAGAGCAAGGATGGACCTAGTACCTCATTCGACTCCCACCAGAGGACATGCAAGAGCAAGATCAACCATTGAACTCAATCATTGACCCATCTGAGGCAATCTTAACTAGCCAGGTGAGGCATGGGTCTAATACAGAAATGGCCAAACAAACTAATAATCACACTTTTCACTTCCTCAGATTCAACAAGATCAGATTCTTCCTAGATAATCATGCAATCCCAGTCTCCATAGTCTCCACTGGCCAAGGCTAGATTCAGGAAATGCCTTGTTTTTTAGAGCTAGCTCACCATGACTGTAAAATACCAGAACTTTTTTAAGTAATGGGGAAAAAAGAAGACTTTCTTGTCATCTTTTAAAGTTTAGAAAGCAAGGGCAACCCTCCCTCCCCCTTCTCTCACTTTTTAGAAAAGTACAATATGAAGTGGGCATCATTCCTGCTAGTGTTTGTCCATGCCTTCTCACTGCAATGAATATTTAAAGATTCTGAGAATTCAAGTTTGTTTCATTTCCTAGTACAAATTACTATTCTGTCCAGAGATTTGAGAGTTTGGCAGGAGCAGAACTAACCGTTTGGTTAAGATTTGTTTTACATTGGTGTCTAAAGTTTCTACAAAGTAGGAAGCTATATTGATAATCTTGGCATTTTAGAATAATTAGATTAGAGCTTTGCCTCCATTAAGCTTCATTTAAAATGGCCTAGTCTAATCCAGTATTGTACAGCTGTCTAAAGGCTGACTCTACATCGAGTTTTCAGATGTGGTACATTAAATTGGTCAATGTTCTTCTTGGCTTTAGGCTAGAGCAGAATAAATGTTGAGAATCATTTACCTTGACATGTTATATTTTGACACAAAAGCTATGAAGAGTACTTACAAAAAAAAAAAAAAAAACAAGCCAGGAAAGTGTTGACCAAACAGTCAGTCTCTGTATAGAATTGGTGCTAAAAAGATGGGCATTATTAAATTGGATCAGAAAACTCTAAACGGAATCTAATTTTCAAGAAAGACAGAGACAGGGGTGCAATTCAACCAGTGTAAGATGACAGTTTTAGGAGAATAAAGCCAAGTGTTTAAGAAAACATGGGCATTCTGTTAAAATGAAGGAAAACCACCTGTGGAATTGCTCAGAACAGTTCTTCAAAGAATGGGGGAAAACAGCACAAAAAATCACCAAATCCTTAAGTGTAAGCATGATTTTTTTAAAAAATGGCCTGTCAGATTTTTAATGAAGCACAAAAAAGAAGAGACATGCTCCATTGCTTTTGCATGTCCATTTAAACAAAGAGAGATTTATTCTGGTTTCAGGATTTAAAGCAACCCTCATTTATGTCTTCAGGTGAGCTGTCAAATCGGGCTAATGAGAAAATTTCTCTATACTCATAAGCTGTACATTCACTTAGGTAATTTTTATGTTATCAGTTACATGGCCAATTACTCATCCCTTAGTTTCTAATAATGTAAATAAAAAATACTTACTTTCTATAGTTCATTTCCTATATTAATTTTTATAATAATTAGGAAATGTTAACCAAAGTCAGATTAAATATGTGTCAATATCCCTTCAGTTGTTATAAAACAGCTTTAACTTGATCTATATCCATGTATCAATTTATTGTAAACATTTATTTACTTTCTCCTGGCATTTGCTTAAAAAAGGTCATTAATTAAGGAGATAATTGAAAAATAAATATATTCAAAAATTTAAAAGATTAAAATAAAAGTTCATGTCCAGAAGATTTTATTCCCTGGTCTGTGAGAGGTAAGATTATTTAGTTGATTATTTAGTTTATTTTTTTAAAAAATAGGTTTCTAGTAAAATAGGTGATGGTTTGTGCTGTCTATCGAGGGATGGAATTCTATCGGTTCATCATGGTTCGGGCAAACCAGTAGCTCCAAGGATCAGCTGTTGGGCCCACCTGTCCTCCTGGGCTCTAGTCTGTACTTTATATCCTGGTTTCCAAACTCAGCTGATTCGTGCGGCACAGCGGATTGCTGCGCGTCAGCTGTTTAACACAGAGAGATTGCTGGAAAAGGTCAGTAGCAAACATGAAGTGCGTATTTCTGATTGTGGAAAGAAACTATGGAGTATGGAGGAGTTTTAACAGGACAGAGGTGGTATCTCACCTGCCTGTGAATCTTTGCAATTTATATATTCCTTGCTTTTAACATTGTTAAATGATTAGTAAACCTCAAGTTTTGTTTTCCTCTCTATTGTATGGCTATGTGGTCAAAGTAACAAGGTAACCCTGAAGGACAAACCCTGGTGAACAGAGTAACCTTGATGGACTTTCTTTTATGGGTTCTTCAGAATTTATTTTTTCAGATTCTGTGGCAAATCAAGTTTTTGTCATTTCCTTCCAGCCCATCAGTATATTCTTGTTATTGTTGTTATTACTATTACTATTATTTTATGTTATTTTATTTTTATTATTTTATTTTATTTTATTATTTTATTTTATTTTCTGAGATGAACTTTCTCAAGCAACCCAGAGTCCTCTGGAATGTGTCAGCCTACAAATTCGCTAAATTCCTTCCATTCAATGTAAATAAAAGGATGAGCCTAATTGGTCACACAAGGGACCAATCATTGAAACATTTATAATAACTCCCAGAAGACCTTTCGGGAAAGGGAAAGGAACTTCTCAGTGGTTGCCTATCAAATGTTCAGCTCCCATTTAAAGGGCTGGACTTTGTTGGACTTTCAACAACCAATGAGACCGTAGAATCATAGAACCACTTGTTCTATGATGCAGGCATAGGTTTAAGTTCATGTTAATATCACATCTAGGGAAAAAAAGATGACTTTGAAACTTTAGGATGATCTAACAGTTATAACAGATATTTGCCAATACAAAATCTTCATCATTGCTGATTTATATAAAGTTTCTATTTCTTTGGGGAAAAAATAGAATATTTCTCCAAAAGCAGAACTTACCCTAATTACAGACATGCAAAGAAAACTTATAAATGGACCAATCATGATGATGGAGATTTCACAATCAAATTATGGGAGTGCACCTTGCCCCCAAAATGTCTTCTGGTGAGTTGTTATAAACGTTTCAAAGATGAATTATCGCAACACTTCCAGAATACACTTGGGAGTTATTATAAATGTTTTAAAGATGAATTATCACAATATTTCCGGAATACAATGAATTATATTTTACAAGGTAATGGAATGCTAGAATTATGGAAACAAGCCAACATCACTCTAATGCTTAGCAAGGGGCAAGACCCAACTTTAAGGAAAAATTATAAACCAATATCATTATTAAACAGTGACCACATTCATGTCTATATTGACTAGCCGATTCAAGACAATTCATCAAGAATTCATCCATCAAGATCAATTAATTACCCAAAAGGCAATTAAAGGACAATGTGAGGACAGTTCTGAATGTCTTAGAGCAGAAGTGTGAAACTGGCAGTCCATGGGCCAGATGCATCATGCATAGGCCATGCCCATCCCAGCTCTGCGAATGGGAAAATCATCGTGAAACATCACGTGACGACAGTGCGATACAATGAGTTTGATACCTGTATCTTAGAGCAACTACAGTAATTGAACATAAAGTAAGCTGCATTATTTTGTGGGGGTGGGGGATACAGAAAAAGCTTTTGATAATTTCAGTTGGCTATTTCTGTTTAAAATACTGGAAGTTGTGGATTTTGGTGAGGGTTATGTAAAGTGGGTTAAATTAACACATACACACACACACACATGAAAATGCACCAATTATTGTTAGTGGTGATCCCACAAAACCTTATTCAGAAGGGAATGAGACAAGGATGCCTGCTATCCCCATTTGTATTCATATTAGCTCTAGAAATCCATTTTGAAGACTGATGTATCACTGAGTAAAAGGATCTGACGTAATTGAAGAGGTAGTTTTGAATCACCTGGCAGTGCTCCACGGTGATTTCAATATTAAGCCACCACTTAGATTCTGGCTTATGAACAGACTGATAGTCAAACATGTTCCTTTAGCAGTGCATGTAGTACAGGAGATCAGCTAACACCCAAGCATACTTCACTAGATGCAGCTTCCAAACAAATTCTAAGAACAGCCCAATGTAGAGCAAATGGCACAGTTGAGAGGATAATTTCACATAAATGGTGCAATTATGAAATTCTCCCGATCTGAGGAATAGATTCACCTATGTGTTTGTTACTCCTTTGATAAAAATGGAAAAAAATAAAATAGTGTGTTTCTATAGGGTCTAGACTTCATAATAAGCTCAATCACTGAATTAATTTCTTATCAATGTTCATGGATATTACATGTGTTTTTTTTCAAATTATGTAGTTCTTTCTCTCTCTTGCACACTTTCTCCCATGCACACACCCTTTTAAAAACCTTCATTGTACAACCACTATTTATCATTTTTCCCTGTTGCTTTATAGTTTTCTGTATTTCACCACTAAATATAATAATAAAAGTCCTGAGATTACTAAAAAAAAAAACAGAAAAATCACTGACAGTGATAGGTTGTAGAAGAATACAGAGATAGCCTTGATGAAAACAAAATACAGAAACAGGGAAAATAAGAAACAACCCAGTCATGGGAAACGAGAAGGGATGACAAATAAACTTAGAATAACTCTGCTTTTATTTTGTTTGACATAAGAGGGGTGTAGAAAGTTAGCACCCACCCCTCTCCTAGAAGAATGAAATATTCTAGGCAATATTAAAAAGGCAGAATATTGTATTTCCCTGGATGAGAAAAGGAGAAACATGTTTTAAAGACAAAGCAGCTCCCTGCAGCTGCCTGCCACCTGCTTTCAGCTCCAGGGTGATGGGATTAAGACATGGCCCTCAGTAAATGATAGGATTAGCCATCTCACCACATGGCTTACCTGGGAAGATTACATGACCCAGCAGAATTCAGCCAAACTTAGCACATATACAACCTACAAAGCTAGCTATGACCCTTGACAGCATCCAATCATGATACTCTTCCTGTGCCCCAGGAAGTTCAAAGCTTTGAGAGGATTTCTCCCCTTTTTCGCCCAGGAGCTCCAAAGCATGTGGTCCTGTCCACCATTAAACCTTCTTTCCAAGCAACTTCCATGAATCTAGTGTCTTTTTTCCCCACTTGGAACTGAACTCAGAAGGATATTTCTTCCAACAGCGGACAGTCTGAATTTTAATAGGCTTTCATGATTTTGTTATTATACTGTACAACAATAAAGTATCATTCCTGTAATCCTTGCACTGTTTCCTCACCTGATCTACTTGCTGAAATGAATCCAAGAATTCCAAGATGGTGAACCTATTTTTTTTTTTCAGAAGTAGAAGCCAATTTAGAGCAGTCACTTCCTCCAATTCCTAATTTCAAGAGCCATTTTTCCACAGTGTTTTTGTCTTACCGGAATTTGAGTTCAGTTTATTGACCTTGATCACTTCATTCAAGCACCAGTTTATATTATTCACAAGCTCTTCTGATTAAGGTTCAGAAGTAGAATTAGCTATCATCAGCGTAAAAGAGATGCCATGCCCTTAATCATCTAATCACTATATTGGTAGCTGCATAGAGATATTAAATAGCATTGGGAGAAAAGATAGTATCTAAAGGTACCATATAGTAAAATCGCAAGATCGCCATCTTGCATTTTCTCAGGGCTGTTCTCTTGCAACTGCTTCCTACAAAATGATTATATATCTATGTTCTTATCCTTTATCTGTGAATTTGATGTTCTCTGAAACCCAATAAGAATACTGTGTTGTGCTATCTATCTTCTTCCAGTTATAATCATATTAAAACCTATTTAGTCCTATATCAGAGGCAAACCACAGGATATAATAGATCTAAATAATCAGCATCCTTCAAGAATCCATGTAACTGCATTGCTATTATATTTTTATCATTTTCCCAAGAAAGGAACACAATCATTTTTTATAATTTTCCGTGTTTGAGAGGATTTTTAAGAAGCAGCCATACTTCAATCACTTTAAAGACAACTGAGACCACTCATTCATTTACTTTCTGGACCTTCTCAGATAGACACCCTCACCTGCCCCCCCTCAAAAGTTGCTTCAAATTAGTCATGCTGGGAACAAATAAATTAGACGTAAGCATCTTGTCCACATTTCTAAAAGTTGGACCTGGTACTGGACAGGGATGTTAAATTGGGCACTTGATTTGAAACTCTTCTTAGAGCAGCACTTTAAATCATGTGATGTTATCCTCAAAGACCTCTGTTGAAATTTATATTTATGCAAAATGGCTGTGCTGTAGACTCTACCTGGTACTTTTCCACTTCAGTGATTGGATGTTTGCATGTGTATAAAAGCCTCTTCTGGCTACCAGAAATAGTGGATAGGGATGTTGGGGCAATGTGAAGTGAAAGCATGTGGATTCTTGGCTTTAGAAGTGGAACAGCCTTGAATGGATGTTTCACATTAACTTCTTCTGAAGTGAAGTCATGTTGTGAAGCTTTGCACAGCTCTACTAAATTTATTACAGCAGGCACCCAAGGGATAAAAAACACTATTTATTTCAACCAATTCTACCTTGGACAAGACAAGAATCTCAAAACACTGATTAGCAGTCAGTCAACACGTCCAAAAACTCCAATCTCAACCCACTTCGACACCAAGCAACACCAGTCCGACTGGCACAGAACAAAAATAATTGACCATGCTACCACATACCATACACACAAATTCACTGAAGTATTGTATTCAATAAACATGTCGATCAAAAACATACTGATTTGGAACTAGCGTACAAGCCCGTATGAAGCCGGCTCTATTGGGCAATCAAACCAACCAATGATGACGCTGACCAACTATTCACCAGATGATCTTCACACCATGCTACCAGTCTATCACACAACCAACTGACCTGGTCACCACACAAGACCAATATAAACAGAGGACAACTGAGATAAGATGCTTCAATTTAAGCTCTGATGATGATGCGGTGAAATGTTTGGAACCTGAACAGCAAGCTTGGAAAAGAAACCATCGCCAACACTATTTCTTGTGTTAGATGCCCTAAATCCCCCACAGTTCTGTAAGACAGCTACTGAAAAGCAGGTACAAAGAATCTTTCCAATACACATGATTTTCCATGATAACATGTTTGGTGTAACTGAGACTTTTGTTAACAACTGACATCTAGTTGGTTTTTGTTGCCCAGAGTTCTGGGTGAATTGGATAAATACATTTGTTTGATTTATGAAGAAAATTTTACTTGAAGTTTGGTCTAGTGGCTAAGGCACCAGGCTAGAAAGTAGGAGACCATGAGTTAAGTCCCTTCTTAGCCAACAACACTTCACAGAATTGTTGCTGTTGTTGGAAAAATAAGAGGAAAGTTATGTTGGATATGTTCACTGCCTTATTTGTAAAAACAATATAGGCTGGATACAAACAAATAAATAAACAAATAAATAAGAATATTGCATTAGAATAAGACCATCAATGTTCAAACTAAAAATTCAGCACCTACCCTGGTCTAATTTAAATGCTGTGGGTTCAGTTATGACCCGTACACATAGAAATGACAATATCTGACATGAAGTTGTTGAGATTGTAAGGAGAACAGAGGCAGCAGCCTAATTATGCATCCCAAAAACATGTTTGATTAAATTCTGTGAGCTAATCTAAATAAATTAGGATATGGTAAAGGAAAGAGCACTTGCTAATATTATAAACTGGCTGATGAATTAGAGCAGATGTGCAGCCCCTTTTAAACACTATATCCTTGAAAATCTCTTGTGAGGGTGACCTCGCTCTTGAATACCCACCATCCTAAGATAAAACTGATGCCACCACCAACATTAATTTGTGATGCCAGCTGAAAAGAATGAGTTTTCATACATACCACTGGAAACTGGCATAGTGTCATGCATTTGGTAGAGTCAGACTCTGAGGGAGAGGACGAACAACTGAGGGAGTGGAGTTGTGGCTCTGGAGGTTGTGGAGGAGGCTGGGGAAGGGCAGAGGCCAGCTGAGCAGTCAGAGGAAGAACCAGGCCCATCCCCTCTGCATCCTAGGACACACAGGGAGGAAACAACTTCGTTTATGAGAGAGGAAGCGGCCATGATCCCCCTCATTGGTTGCAGCTGAGGACTAGTATATAAGAGAGACAACTACAACACACTGTTGCCAGAAGCAAAGTGTGTTTGATTTTGGGCTGAAGTTATCTTGGTTGGCGTCCTTCCAACAGACTGTGCCTTGTTATATCCTTGAATTTGGTAATTACTTATCCTGGTCAGTTGTGGAAATTTCGCCATTGTAGTTTGTTTGGTTTTTTTATTTCACCTCTATCTGCTCATTAAGTTCAGACTGTATTGCTTTCTTTTGAATACTATTTTTGAAGAAATTTTATCTCCAATTGAGAATTATTAAACAGTGGGGCCAAATTGGAGGCATTAAAGGACATTTATTTACATTTTGGATTTTGTTACGTTTGTGTTACACTCCAGGTCATCACACATAGCCTGGATTTCGTACTTACCGGCTATTGATATTTTTTCTTGATTGAATAATGATAAGTATCCTGCTTCTTTTTTTTATTTGTTTGGCAATGAAAAACAACAAATATGAAATGTTAAATAAGTAAGTAAGTAAATAAATAAATATGCATACACATTTGGAAAGATAATTGTATCAACCACTTTCTGTCACATTTGACATTCTTTTAAATTTTTTCCCATGCAGATATCTGTTTCTTGGGTGCCTAGGAGGAAGACTGGTGCTGTCCTTCTCTTAAGACAAGGATTGAGGTACCTTACAAGTTGTGGTTTGGCTCCATCCCTTCCACCTTTAGAAGAACACCTCTACAATCAAACCTTCACATGCTAATATGTTTGCAATTAGGTTTTAAGATTCCTTTTGTATTTTTTTCCATTTTTATGATATATTTTTAATGGTGTTAGCCACTGTCAGTTCAACAGAAAGATAAAGGGAATTTTATATATTGTCAAAGGTTTAACAAAGAAGCACACACTGAAAATGTAGCTTACTTTCAATGAACACTGAATTGACTTCTTCTCCAGCTACTCAGCCACAACCTTCTACAGTATTTGAGCGGTTTTTATCCTTCTTTTGGACAATCAATTCTCTCTCTTTTTTCTTTCTTACCTCCTACACCTTTTTACAGAAAGCAAGTTTTCTGTAGTGGTTAGAAACCAGGAGTTCTACTTCCAGTTTAGGCACAAAGCTAGTCGATATTCTTCTGCTAGTTACTTTTTCTCAGTCCTAGAAAACAGGCAACAATAAACCACTTCAAAAAAAAAAAAAACCCTTGCCAAGAAAACTACAGGGATTTATCTAGGCAGTGGCCAGGAATCAACACCAACTTGAAGGCACCAATAAATAAATTAATAAATCCCACCTATTCAAGACTGAAAACTTTTCCTTATTCTTGACAGTGTTTCTGAAGAAGGAATCATTTAATACACAGTGACTCTTCAACATAAGTGATGGGGTGGATGCAGTCCAGGCAAAACTAATTGCTTACTTAGGAACAATATAATGTCCTGAAAAATTGTTAAGATGAAAAATTGCTAAGATAACAATAAATAGATACATAATATAAATATAAATATAAAATATAAGATGGTGACCAAGCACATAACAATACAAGCCAAAGGCAACCCTTGCCCAGCTGGGGTTGCCTTTG